TTTTTTTTTTTTTTCATATATATTAAGCTAATGGCCCATGTCGCCGAAGCTATAAAGATCAATAAAAAAAAAATTATAATTTTGGCGCAATGTTTTTAAAAGTAGCTATTTTCGCGCAGTACATGTGCAGTATGCACAAAAGTGCACCACTTATTATTTAAGCAGGTACCTTGTCGCTAAAAATTGGGTGTATTTCAAATGTACTGACTTAAATTTATCTATAATTTATTTTTGAAAAATCTCTTCAAGTGAAATTGCACATGAAAATTACAATTATTGAAAAATTAGATATTATAATAATAGTGTTTCCTAAGACTGTATGTGTGTGACAAAAAATTATAATTGTCATTTTTTAAAATAAATTCAGTTGGCAGTGTTGGTACGTATATTGGAATACTGTTATCTGTATTATCGACGACGTATTAAGTTCTGTAGCTTAATAATTATTGTGAATGATTGTTATGAATTCTAATAATGTTAGCTTGTTATTCACAACGTTGGTTGTAAACTTTGATAAATTAAACAWAACACTCAGTTTGAATGTTCATGTTAAAACTGAACAGTGAACACTAATGTATGTAAAATGTCTACGTATAAATGGTTAAATTATTAAGAAAAAAAAAATAGAATATCTAATGTAACACGACATTTTGATCCAAATAGGAAAAAATTTAATTCATAAAAACTAATAAATAATAGGGGTCAACGTTTGCATATTCATAARGTTGATTGTTCAACTATATTTCCTATTCAAATATCAACTTCCTGGTTTGAAATGTTTAATATAAAATTATTGATAACTGACAAGTACCTAATATTCAATGTGTTTTTAATATTTTTTTTTTTTACTCGACAACAATTATGTCCATTAGCTAAAAGTCTTAATTACAATTTACAATTTTTGTGGGATTTACATTGTGTTAGGTACATTAATTTAACAATTACAAAATTATATTTTGTCTGTATAATAAGGTTGGTTAGTTTTAATAATTTAATGATTTTCACGCTTTGATCAGAGTCTAAGGATTTTATCGAGAGTTTCGGTGAAATTGAGATATTATTAGTTATTACGATCGTTCCTTTTTGTATACTACACAGACTACATTCAGATTAGTTCGACTGATGTGATCGCGAGCTTCGCAGATGGGTGGTTAATCTTTTGACACGAGGAATCCGTGGGTTACCCTAGAGCTAGAGTGTCCAATTCTTAGGCGATTCGTGGAGGTTTCGTATTTTCGGTTTAAGCCAGCGGTTTTCCATCTGCTGCAGGTTGTGCTCTTGATCTGGTTTAGTTTAGTGGTCTATAGTTTCTCCATAGTATAGGTATATTATGTCATTTATTTTTATTTTTTAATATGGAATAGTTTCGGTGAAATTGAGATATTACGATCGTTCCTGTTTGTATACACAGACTACATTCAATTACGATTTGTTCGACTGATGTGATTTGTGTACCATACGCTTTTCAGTTGAGTGGTTCGTCATCTTTTGAAATGAGGAATCCGTTGCCCAACCTCTAGGGTTTAGAGYATCCAATTCTTAGRCGATTTATAGAGATTTTGTCTTTTGGGTTTAAGTCAAAGAGGTTTCCCATCTGCTGTAGGTTGTATTCTCGGTCCGGTTTTAGTGGTCTGGTTATTCCATAGTACCTATATGTCTTTTTTTTWAAATTTATATCAAACTAAAAATAAATAATACACCACTATGATATCAACTAGTTCCCCAGGGTTGAAACATAACAAACGTTTAATTTATTTTAAATTTATTTTTTAAATTGTTTTTTTTTTTTAATACCTACACTTTAAAAAAATTTTATTCAAAGTCCTTTCTAATCTCATGACCACAGAAGTAATCTAATTAAATCTTAAATCCCTCGCTGTATTCTGTCCGTACCTACCCTTTAATCTTTATCAGGTTATAGCTCCTAATTCATAATTAATTGCTGTAATAGAATTCTTTTTTATAAATTAAACTATATAACATATTATTATAATTAGATATTTTAAGTTATATATATATATATATATATAATATGCGCCTTATATTAATTTAGATACGCAAATTACATGGTTCCATGTTCATATATATTTATAATAAATTAGTGTACGAAATACTATCACGGATTAAATGAGATTTTTATTTAATCTGAGATGCAATTATATTCACGACAAGTAACAACTAATAACTTCTACTTAGCTTCGGCCTTTAAGACACCATATTGGCACTGCTAAGCATAAACTTTGGCATCAATCACTGTTTTCCGCTGTCACTTACTGAATTCAAATTAAAACTCCTCAACACAAACTATATATGCTCATAGGGGAGTTGTAAATTTTTTAGTTTATGTTTTTGACAACTACTAATAACCATACATGATTTTTCATGAGTTACGAATAAATAATAACAATAATTTTAATTTTTGTTTTACTAGAAATTTATGGTTTTTTTTTTTTTTTTTGATTCTTGCCGAACTGTTTTGATGACAAGTTTAAATGAACCAATACAAAACTGGATACGAAATTCTAGACCAAATATTGATATAAATAACTAATAAGTGACGCAATTTTTCATCTTCGAGTTTGGTGGGGCTAAAAATAATGTGTAAGCCGTGTGATCAATTGTTTTGTCGTGGAATTTCGTGATTAATCACTTTGTGTCTTATACTTGAATTATTAATTGCTCTAAGTTATGAAAAAATGAATATCTTACCTCATACCGATAGTGGATTAAAATATCTATCACTCRGTGTGTCTGTGATGAGTTGTGACATTTATTTTATCATCATTGGTGTATGTGAAGTCGTGTTGACTGTACCATATACATATAGGTCATCATGCAATGTATATGCAATACAATTATTATGCGTACAAAACTACAAAACAATTTATAGGTATTTACCTATACTGATATTATGAAAAATAGTTGTAAACGTAGTGACAATTTGTATTAACCAGCAACAGAGTTTAACTTTAAAACCTGACTTCACCGATAAAAAATTAAAAATATA